AGAACAAAAAGACAGTCCCGGGCTGACAGAGCTGCACACTTCTGCCATCACCACATGGTCTTTAGTCAGATGTAGGAACACTAACAAGCCACCAATAGAGATATGTCTTATTGTTACAAAGGCAGAATGGATAATAGATTTGAACATGCATTCTTCCATAGAATTAGATATTAAAGTGTGATACCATTACAGTCAATAGAAGCTTTCCACTGACCTCACTGGGACCAAGATTTTACCTTCTATTTGAGCAACAGCAAAGGGATATTTTTCTTCCTTATCAAAGGATTGTAGCCGATCCCTTTAAATTAGAAATAAAATAAAACCAAGTGCTTGTGCCCGGACTCTACAATTAAAAAAAGACCGCAGCTAATGTTCCTGCAATTCAAGATTCTGCTGACCTTCATGTCACACTGCAAGCCTTATTTGTTCTCTGAGGTGATGGGAAGTTAAACAAACAGAAAGCTTTTGCCCAAACATTTGTAGAGTTTTTAATATGTGGATGTGACCAAAAAACACTTTTTTTAAAAAATGGAAAGAGATCAATGTAAATGTATATACGAGATAAATGAAGTGGCTCATTGAAAATCTGGGGGAAAGGCTCTTGGACTCAGCAGTGATGTGTAGCTTAATCTTTTTCTATTCTTCCAAATCTGCTGCTACAACCTAGCACCCTTTTTATTTTTTATTTGTAGGACCGTAAGTATACCCCTCAAAATAAGGTTGCCTGAAAAGCTGCTATTACCTGTGATCTACATCATACCAAAGTAATTACCATAGAGCACATGACTTAACTTTGCTGCCCATCCAAATGCTTTTATTAATCTATCGGTCATATTTAAAGTCGGGGTAACAGAGTTTAGTTGTGTCTCCTACCATTAACAAATAGGGCCCTGATCGTGCGAAGTCCACTGGCACTGCTCAAAGTGAATCAAGTGCATGCATACATTTTTTGTGCCGGGCTGAGGGTCAGGAAGCACAATGCCTACGCTGCCTTGCTAATGGCAATTCTGAGTTATGCTATTTGTTTTACAACAGTCCTAGACCTGGGGCTAGAAATAGGATTGGCTCTGTCATATGAGGTGCTGCATAAACACCTCATAAAAGAATAATTGAGCTAAAAGCACCAGTGCCCTGCCTATGCCAGCATTCCTACCACTGCTTGTACTAATGGAGCAGCATGAGTAACTGAAACGGGAGGGGATTTCATAAAAAAGGATTTCATAAAAAAGGCTGGTGTAGACACTTGTGGATCAACCATCAGCCCCTGAGGATCTACCATGTTTTCTAAAATGGTGCTGAATACAGTCTGGTCCTGTCTATATGTACGTTAAAACCATGTACAGCACCTGTTCATCTACACCAATTGCTAACAGCAGGCGTTAACACCAGGTATGATTCCCAAATGGCATGAGGTTTGTAATATCCAAGCATTTCAAACTGGCCATGTTTGATTTCTGGCAACAGAAATGTGAAGGAGAAAGAAAACTGAGCTATTCATCTGTGTTCATAGCAGGAAACGTACCTCCAGTTCTGCCTATTATGTGTGGACTGTCATTCAGTCCTGCCTGGCTCTATAGTAAATCTTATTCCTCCCAGAAGTCTAGAGAGATGGGCTTGTGTCTAAACAAACAAGCAAAGATTGCATAGGTCAGGGATGGAATTTATGTTGGGTGCTGCAGCATGGGGTAGAAGAAAAGGGAGAAGAGAGGACACTGTGCATAAAATGCTGGCTCTGTGTTTGTGCTGAGAAATAGCCCAAGCTGGTTTCTCAGCTATCAGAAGAGTAAAATGTGCTCACATGAATAATTGCCTTTGCCAGTCCCCTTGACCAGCAGACTGAGCTTTATTTACCCATCCTGCAGCAGTCTGTAATGATCCCCCTTCTTTGTTTGAGTGGCTAAATTTTAACAGCAAAGTGTGAGAAACAAAAATCTACTTTTAATCTCAGCAAGAGGCAGCATATTTTGTTACATACAGACTATGCCTTGGTTATAACGCCTAGTTTCTTCTGGTCATATCAAAAACATTTCCCTAAACACTTCTTGTACATGCCTCACCATGCAAAAGGATTATAGTGCAGACCAGGAGGGGGCAAATACTGGCCTGCAAGCTGGATTCAGTTCCAGGTTAGCCCCTAGCAGGACACTGCTATACTTACCTGTGCCCAGTGCTTTTTTTGTAAGAAAAAAGGTGCCGGTACGCCCAAGTTGAAGGGGTGCCAATACGCCAGAGGGGAATCCCATTCAATTCAAAGAAGATGAGAAAATAGGGTGCCGATACGCTGGCCCAGGGCATACTATCACATAAAAAGCACAGGCTGGCACCACTATGTTTACCTGTGTCTCCATAGGTACAGGCAATCGCAGCTCCCACTGGCTGCAGATTGCCATTCCCAGCCAATGGGGAGCTGCAGGAAGTGGTGTCCCAGTCCGCACTGCTTCCTGAAGCTCCTATTGGCTGGGAATGGTGATCTGTGGCCAATGTGCGCTGTAGTCACTTGTACCTGTAGAGGCACAGGTAAACATAGTGGTGCCAGCCTGCCATGGGCTAACCCTGGTAAATCACTGTCATTTTATGCTTTGTGCAGACTCTTTGGGAAAGAAGAACAAAGTTCCTGAGTTTGGATAGCAACTAGTGAACTCTGGATGTAGTAAAAAATAACTGAAAAGGGAGAAGAATGATAGTTCAATGGTTAGGGCATTAGCATGGGTCACAGGAGAGCTGAGTTCAGTTCTCTGCTCCACCACAGACTTCTTGTGGGGTTTTGGGCAAAGTACTTAGCCTTTCTGTGCCTCAATTTCCTAACTGTAGAAAGGGGGTAATGGCACTTTCCAATGGGTGTTTTGAGGACAGATATGTTAAAGATCTTGAATAGTATGTGACTGGAGGAACATATAAATGAGGAAATAAAGGTCGCAAGAGAGGCAAACAGAAAATAAGACCTGTTCTACAGAATCTTAAACAAGCCTATAGAGTTCTATAGAGGGATATAACTCTCTATTCAATATGACAGCTGCTGTAAAAATCGAGGGACACCAAATTGGAAATCCTAGTTGCGCTTACTAGCAGAACTGGACAAATGTGTTGAAGGAATTAAAGGAAAAATGCAGGAGGTGGAAATTAAATTGCGAGCCCACAAAGTAGAGATCAAAGGGTACATCTACCCTACAAAAAAGCCCCCAATCCATACTTTGCAGCAGCAAGGCTCAGAGCCCATGTCAAATGATTCAGGCTCATGAGTCTCAATCTATGGCACTAAAAATGGCAGTGTAAATGATGGGCTTGGGTTAGAGCCTGGAGTCTGAAAACTGGAGAATAGGGAAGGTCTCACAGCCCAGGTTTTGGCCTGAAGCAGGGGCATTTACATAGTCATTTTTAGCCAGTAGCATGAGCATGAGTTAGTTGGTACGTGCTCAGACTCACTTCTCTATTTTTTTGCTTTGTTTTTGCAGTGTAGACATACCCAAAGAGAGCAAGAACACCCTGAAAAATTAGATTTTCCTCCATGCTCATGATTCTCCACCCTGTTCTCTCACTTTCAGCCTGAATTATGCTGATCCTCTTAGGGTAATGCTAGTCATTTTCCAGACATTGAAGAAGAGACTGTCACTGTTCCAAGACCACAATCTAAGGAGAGATAGGCAGGGTGGCAAAGGTCAAGGAATGGGATTTTAACCCAAGTCATAATGATTCATAGTAACCACTAGAGTAGCAGTAGAATTTTAAATCTCTCAAAAAATGTGGAAAGGGCTCTGTGGATGAATTCAGGGATGCTGTGCAACGCCACATGAACAAACGCAAAAAGGCATTTGTAGGAGAAGCTAACAAATGGGTGAGAACACTGGAGGAGTGAGGCAATCCAAAGTCCAACAAGTTAAGGAGTGGAAAAGTTAAGTAGCGCTTTGAAAAAAGTGGCAAAAAAAAATTGCTTAAATCTGATGCAACAGCAGTCCAGAAACTAATGGACAAATTCCAAGATGGTAGTGACCTGATCAAATCAACATAGAAGGGAGATTTTAACAGCTGTATTTTGTATGAATTGCAGGAAAGTGTTTGTTATCTGGGGGACCAGAGAAAAGGGAGTTGCAGTAGGTCAAGGTGGGACATGAGAGATGAGGATGAAAAAAAAATTCACAGTCTTATTCAAACATCTGTTTGCTGGAAGACAATATATAATGCAAGACTGGAAAAAATAAACTAACCCTTCTT